ACGGTGTTGCTGAGAGTCGGAACCGCATCTTAGTGCAGATTGCTCGCTGCCTCCTCACTCACGCCTCCGCCCCTCCCTCATTGGGGGTATGCCATGCTCCACGCTGCCGCCCTCCACAATCTCCATCTTCATCCTTATCACACCCACACCACTCCCGCTGAGTTGTGGACGGGTCAAAAGCTGTCCGTCCGCCCTCTGCGTGTATGGGGGTGCACTTCCTATGTCCTCCTCAACTCCCAAGCCCGTCGTGCAGCTTGTAGCAAACTTGCTCCCAAAACAATCACGTGCGTATACCTCGGGCACAACTCAGATTCGCCAGTCTATCTCTTCCTCCATCCTTGCTCCATCCTTCCACCAACAAACTTTACCGCAGCCGAGACGTGTTCTTTGATGAGTCTCACCCATTCTATCCCTCCTCCAAGACTTCCCCCTCTCCTCCACCTCCTTCTCTTACTTGGGCTGACTTTGACAATCTTCCTCCTCCCGCCACTCTATCTCCTCCTCTTCCTGCTCCCACCACCGTCTCTGACCCGCCACCACCCACTTCCCCCTCCAGCACCACGCAGTCTCCTCCGCTCCTTCCCTCCCCCTCCCCTCCCCCACCGGCTCCCCCTCTTTCCTCTCCTCCTGCTCTGGCTCCTGCTCCTGCTCCCGCTCCTCCTTCCGAGCCTACTCCTCTCAAAACCTACCACCCCATTCCTCCGGCTCCTGCTCCTCCTGCTCCAGCTCCAGCTCCTGATCCTGCTCTTGCTCCCACTACCACCTCAGATACCGATACTACTCCTTCAGCTCCGCCTCCCTCCCCCATCGCTTCTCGCACACGCTCTCATACAGCCCCGAAGCCGCTCTCCCTTTCCGTTCGCATCTCCCTCAATCCACCTCCTGTCGGGGGTGATTATTCTCTCATGCCCTCCCTCCTTGAAGACAGACTTGAGGAGTTGATTGATATCGACTCAGCCATCCATGCGCTCTGCTTCCTCTTTCCAGATATCGCACTCTCCCACCCTCGATTTCTCCGACAACCCCTCCATCCCCACACCTCTCACCTATGCTGAAGCAGTCTCTGGTCCTCACGCCGCCCAGTGGTTGGGGGCAATTGTCGCAGAATGTGAGGCCTTCATTCACACAGGAACTTTCACAGATGTCTCTCCTCCCTCCGTCATCAACATTGTGAAGGGAAAATGGGTTTTCCGGGTGAAACAACTTCCAGGCGAATTTCCTGTCTTCAAAGCCCAGTACTGTGCCAAGGGAATTACCCAAAAGCATGGACTGGACTTCTTTGAGACATTCTCTCCCACGGCCAAACCTCCCACATTACGCACCCTTCTCGACGTTGCTGCTTGAGATGACATGGGGGTTGACTGCATGGATGTGTCTTCTGCGTTTCTGCAAGGGATCCTTCGAGAGGAAATCTATATGGAGCAGCCCGAAGGATTTCCAGCTCTTTTTCCACCAGGCACTGTATGGAAGCTGAATCGGCCAGTGCATGGACTCAAGCAAGCACCCCGGGAAGCACAACAAGCTCAAGAGCACCTTAGGGTCCCTTGACTTTCACCCATCCACCTCTGACCCCAGCCTCTTCATCCGAGCAACACCATCCCGCTTCTTCATCCTGGTTTACGTCGATGACATGATCCTTGTCACCAAGGATCAGACTAAGTTGGCAGCAGTCAAAACCGCACTTGGTGAGAAGCTGGCCATGAAGGATCTTGGGAAGCTGACGAACTATCTGGGCATGGAAATCATACGTGATCGCCGGCCCGCACCATCACCCTCTCGCAGAAGTTTTACATCCACAACGTTCTGACGAAGTTCAAGATGCAGAAAGCAGCATCAATGCCTACCCCACTCTCTCTGCAGCACCAACTCACTGCACCCTCTGTTCCCTCACATGAGCCCTGTGATGAGCCTTACCCCGAGCTCGTTGGATCCCTCATGTATGCGATGATGTGTACTCGACCAGACTTGGCCTATGCAGTCAGTGTACTGTCTCGCTACGTTGCACCTAATCGTTTCACTCGCCACCACTGGTCTGCCGCCAAGCGGGTCCTTCGCTATCTCAAAGGCACACAGGATTATGTGCTCACACTTGGCGGCTCTTCCCCTGTTCGCCTTGAGGGGTACAGTGACTCATCCTATGCTGATGACCAGAGTGATCGGCGCTCTTCCCAAGGGTATTGCTTTACCCTTGGCAGTCGGGTTGTAAGTTGGCGCTCCACTCGGTCGTCCTCAGTCTCACCGTCGACCTGTGAGGCAGAGCTGTATGCCGGGACCATGGCTGCCCAGGAGGCTCGTTGGCTCACCTTCCGACTAACAGAATTGGGGTATTCTCAACCAACCCCAACGCTTTGGTGTGACAACGAGAGCACCATTGATCTCACCAAGGACCCCGTTTTCCACGGCCGCACTGAGCACATTGAAGTTCGTCACTACTTTCTTCGTGAGCTGGTGCGGCGCGAGCAGTTGAACGCTGAACACATTGCCTCTGACTGCAACCTTGCTGACTTGTTTACCAAGTCGCTTGTTCGCCAGGACCATTACCGCCTCCTCTCGGCCATGGGTGTTGGGCTTCCTTGTGGCTGATGTGTTGCAGCTTAGGGGGTGTGTTAGAAATAGGCTGTCAACACTTTATGTACAATATTCTATATCGTGTAGGTTATTTGTGGGTTGGGTGTAGTTTGTGATCCCAACCCTATCTGGTTGGGATTCCCTCGTAAACCTGCAAATCTGCCAACTCACCAATCGGAGATTTGCTAGGATTCCCATCCCATCCTTTCCCTAGCTTTGCTCAACCCAACCTTGTTTGTACGTAAGGCCTAGTGCCTTCTCTACTAATCAATCAGTTCAGCTCTGTTGTGCAAGCAAGAATGTCCCAGTAGGTAGATTATCACCTTTGGTCTTAGAGGTCGTGGGTTCAACTCTCTGGAGCTGCATTCTCTCTTCTCATTATGCCCAACATGACATTCCCACACTCCACCACACTCACCCACAGTGAAGTGTGGTCACAGTTGGCTTTGCCATCTGTCCACTCATCCCATACTCACCTTGCTAGCCCCTATGGTGTGCCACATGCTGTCATGTAGGCTGTTGTTCCAGCCTGGACCACATGTGCAACATGTGGCCTCAGTTGCTAGCTTGGCAAGGTTGGCTAGCCTTGCCCTCAGCTTTGAGGTGCTGCAGCTAGCCTCAAGAGTTCAGCCACATATATGTGGCTTCCCACTTCTCTAGAAATCATCCTTGGCAAAGGACATTGCTCTAGCCTCTCAGCTTGTACCATCTTCCTACTAAGGATATATTGTTCTTCTCTCATTGTGCCTTAAGTTCACCGATCCTCATTCTACATGCTATCAGAGCCAGGCTTGTAGCTTAGTGAACGTTGCACACTTGATGGCTCAAGTTGAAACGCCTCTCGGTCGGCACACCCTTCCCATCTTGGAACCAGATGGTTCCAACTTCACTCCATGGAAGAAAAAGATCTGCTACATCTTCAACGTCCTTGGGCTGATCTCCCTCCTTGGAGATCCCAAGGTTGCTTCGCGTCCTTCAATTTCCTCTTCCACAACCAGCGGTGGAGAGGCTACCGAAGGCAACAGCGGTGCAGCCCCTAAAACAGCCCATTCAATTGCTTCGCTGCCGGATGAAGAAAAAGAGGAGCATGCATACTATCTTCTCATGTCGGCCGTCCATCCTCAACTATCGCTCACTCTGGCTCAAGCAAACACGACAAAGGATATGTGGGGATGCATCATGGCGCGGTTCGACTGCATGGGCAATCATGCACAAGTGGCTCTCCTCCGGGATCTCATCACTACTCGAATGGACCCAACAACAAGTCTTCGCTCCTACTTCGATCGAGTTGGAAACCTTACACACCAGCTCAAATCTGCCAACTTCGAGTTACCATCATGGGTGGTGGTAATTTCCATCATCCTCAACCTTCCGGTCTCGTTCAAGACTCTTACTGAAACCATTTGCACCGTGAAAGACATCAAGTCTATGACGGTTGAATACCTACAATCACGCCTGCTCGATGCCGATTGGGAGCGGTCACAATCTGGTACAAGCCGCAACATGGAGGGTGCATACAGCCTCAATTCTCAGCCCTCCCACCCTCTTCGCTCCGGTTCCCGCCAGTCGCCCACCTGCCGTTACTACAAGAAAACTGGTCACACCATCGACGAATGCTTCAAATTGAAGAAGAAGAAAGAGCTTGAAGACAACTCTAAACGGGAGAAATCCGTCATCCAGCCTTCGGTGCATGTCTCCACCAGCTCCTCTGCTGAAATTACTCCGACCCCCACACCACCTCCTGCCCCATCAGCCCCTCAGTCCGTACCTGATTCCCGGTACGTTGACATTGCTGTCAGCACCAGCCACCACCCCATTATCTCCTCATGGACTCCTCTCGTCGCTGCTGTCTTCATTTTCACCATCCTCCTTCTCCTCCTCCTCTTCCCTTATGGGGCTCCCTACGCATCGGCATTCACGGCCTCCTCATTCAACATGGACCGGACTTCGTCGTGGCTGGTGGACAGCGGCGCATCCTCCCATATATGCTCGGATCCTTCGTTGTTTTCGTTAGAAATAGGCTGTCAACACTTTATGCACAATATTCTATATCGCGTAGGTTATTTGTGGGTTGGGTGTAGTTTGTGATCCCAACCCTATCTGGTTGGGATTCCCTCGTAAACCTGCAAATCTGCCAACTCACCAATCGGAGATTTGCTAGGATTCCCATCCCATCCTTTCCCTAGCTTTGCTCAACCCAACCTTGTTTGTACGTAAGGCCTAGTGCCTTCTCTACTAATCAATCAGTTCAGCTCCTTTTCCATCACCTTACCCCGTCGTAGTCTTGGAAGGAGGGTGTCTTACCCCATCGTAGTCTTGGAAGGAGGGTGCCTTACCCCATCGTAGTCTTCGAACGAGAGTGCCATACCCCATCGTAGTCTTGGAAGGAGGGTGCCTTACCCCATCATAGTCTTGGAAGGAGGGTGCCTTACCCCATCGTAGTCTTGGAAGGAGGGTGCGGACGCCTCGATGTGCACAATGACAGGCTGGCGCTGCACTGCCAGCATGAGCCCAAACCACCCGTAGAACCCCGTACGCTCAATGCCGCGGATGCCGTAGTACCTGGTGCTCGCCTGCACGCAGGGAAGAGGAATACAGAGAAACACGGAGATGTTGACAAAACACCACTGACAACAACAACATAACACATTGCCAACAAATATAAGCAACAACACCAAAACAATGATACATCATACCTTCAGCAAAAGTCTCACCAACGATCTCCTTCTAAGAGCCAGCCCTGGGGAGTACACGGCCTCCTCGAGCAAGCCCTTGCCCTGCGCGGTGGCGTTGAGGAGGAACTGCAGCGCCTTGGTGGGCGAGCCACCGTCGCAGTTGGAGGAGAGGGCGAGGCGCAGATGCTCCACCGACAGCACGGGGGGCTGCGCCCAGTTGCTCGCGATCCTGTGGGCTGCCTCCACCGCTGCCACCACTGCGTACGCCCAGCAATCACCTGCTGGGAATGAGAGGGGCCGCAATGTAATGGGATTAATGCACTCTTGTGTGACCTGAGTGTAAGAGTAAAACGCTAGTGAATGCTAGCAGCTTGGTGTCACGAAAGCTTCTATGAGAATGCTCACGATACATTCACAAGGTCTCTGTGGTAGGGTGGGACGCAACAAGGCATGCCACGTCTTTCTTTGTCACATGCCATGTGGTGCTCACTCCCACCAACTAACTTGGTTTGTGTTGGAGAAGGCTAGAATTCGCTCTAACACTTTACATAATGTTTTCTTCTATTTCAGCCTTTCCAGAGCAATTTACATTTCAAGGTTCAGCTTGAGTTCATTTCCTAAGCGCTATCCTATATTCGGTTAGGTTTTTTCTATTATGATTTTCAATTATGGCAAGTTTTTCTTAGCTCCACTTTAACATGGTATCTAGAGCAAAATCATAGGCATCCCCAATTTTTTCTTAATCTACATCCTTCCATTTCCGTCGCGGCCCTTCCTCGATTGTCACGCGCCCTTTCTAAGGCCGTTGCGGGCTCTGCCCTAGGCCGTCGTGGGCCGGCCTCAGGTCGTCGGGACTCTGGTCCGTTTTAAGCTGTCGTGGGGGTCACAGACCCTCATAAGATTGTCACGGGCCCTCCCACAGCCGTCGCGGGCCCTCTTGCTTGCTGTCGTGGCGGGCCCTCCCTCAGCCAATGCGAGCCCTCTACCAAAATCGTCGCGAGCCCGTCGCAGGCCCTCCTTCAGTCGTCGCAGGTCCTCCCTCAGCCTAGCAGGCCCTCCCTCAACCAAGCAGGCCCTCCCTCAGCCACGCAGGCCCTCCCTCAGCCGACTCCGGCCCTCCCTCAGCCTGTCCTGGGCCTTACCTACACAGCCATGCGCCTACTTTCCCCCTTCGCACACCCCGCACATCCCGCTGCTCGCTGCGCGACTCATCCAAGCTCACCTGAATATCATTACCAGCCCTTTAAAGCGCCCTCTCAAGCCAAACCCATCTTCACCCCTCCCATAACCATCAGCTCATTGCACCTGATGTTCTCTCTAGTGGGAGTACGCCGCCGTTCGACATATCTTATATTCCCATATTTCTCCTTGATCTTATTTTCCTTTTTGCTATTTCATTTGCATTTTATTTCACCTCAATCGAGCTGCTATTATATTTTCTAGAACATTCTGATCTTTTCATTTATTCTGTATTTCTCACAGACATACGGCACCGACAGCGACGATAGAAGGTGTATACTGAATCATCTGGATATAATTCGGTGTGCCAATAGCATTACGTTCCTTAACGCACAAGCTAATCTAATTTCTTAAATGATACATTCCCCAAGGTTCGGACTGTCGCTTGCTTTCTTGCAATTCTGAGTATAAATATGACTTGTACTCACCTATAGTGCAACATTCTCGATCGAAAAATCGATCCTATGACACTCTCTCTTTCATCCTCCTCGCAACTGTATCCCGAGCTTGTCAACTCGTTCATGTGTGCCATGATGTGCATGCGTCCTACCCCCTCAGTGTTCTAGGTCGGTAATCGGATCTTCACTGGGCCGCTGCCAAGCGAGTGCTCCGTAATTTTTGTGCAACCTCCGACCTTGCTCTCACCCTTGGAGGAATTACTCTTCTTTTCCTTGAAAGGTTTAGCAACTCTTCTTCGGCTGATTCTCGCCCGAACTGTCGCCCCGACCGTCGCTCCTTTAGAGTGATGGCTTTCTTCTCGGTAGCAGCATCGTCAGTTGGCAAATTATTCGCTCCTCTTTCATCTGCCTCTCTTCCAGCGAGTCTGAGCTTAATGCTGGCACCCTCACCTTGCGGAAAACCCGTTCGCTCTCTTTTCTTCTTGAGGAACTTGCCGTTCTCCAATCATTTGAGTCTCTTTCGTGCAACAGTGCCAACATGATTCATCTCACTGAGAGCCCTGTTTTTCATGGTCGCAACAAGAACATCGAATTTCGTCATAGCAAACTTGTTCAGAGCACGTCTTCGAAAAGCAGCCTCTGATGCCAAGCCAACCATGCAAATATCTTCACGAAGGCCCTCCTATGTGTGCCGCATCATGTCTACGTGTGCACACTTGGCCGGTCTCTCGCGTCTTTCCACTTCAGGGGGTGTTCCCATGTGTCAGGTATTTCTCTTCGAAGCTTTACCTAGGCTATGGGTGTTTTCGAGTAGGCTAGATATAGCTCTGATATTTATGAAGATGCTGTCTTATTATGTTGTCGTGTTTAAAGCAAGTTACACCTTAGGTTCAATCAAATTAGGTTCATTTTCTAGGTTCTATCGTGAACTTTATATGATTAAGTTCGCCTAGGTTTACCAGCCTCCTTGCTCAAATGCATCTCGAAACTCTTCTTATTACAACTTTCACCTTCTCTCCATCCATGGCTTCACTTACCTCTACTTGAACACATAGTGCATATTTAAAAGTACGAACATTAATCTCACTCCACGCATGGTTGCATGTGTTTGCGTGGCTTACTCAGTCCTCTCATCTCAATGATCTGTTCCTCGCTCTGGGCCAAGGTGCTAAGTTTCAACCCATACCTTCCATCTTTCCTAATGTTCATACCTTATGGCCATACGACTCACCACACCCCTTTTGGTTCTTGACAGGCCAGGTGGATTCAGGCAAGACCCAGGTGCTGTAGGACTTGACAGTCCACGCGGGGCTGTTGTCCTGCGCGGGGTCGAAGCCCGCACTTGCGTAGTGGAAGGCGGCGTTGAAGCCCTGCGATGAGAAGGAGTCCTCGTCCAACACAAACCCCAACGCCAGGTCTGGTGCAAGGAGGAAGGGGTGTTGGGTTAGGAGTTGGGAGGAGAAAATAGAGTTAAGACACGAAGAAAAAGATCAGTGAGGGGAATCGACTCACGTATGGTGAAAAGAAAAACGCCAAGCATACTCACTTGAAGGGTCAAAGTGCGGGTTCAGCGGAATATCTGCAGCACCCACAGAAGCCAACCACAAGGATGGAAAGGCACGGAAGTGATAGAATACATTAAATTAATGCGGAGCCATGAACAAGTCGCAAATAAGCAACACGGGGAATGGGACAAGTTCCAACTTCAACGAAAAAAGTGTACACACACAAAAAAAACCAACACCACAATTGAAGAAGTACAAGGATACACTAAAGAGCACCCTCAGCTTAGACATTATTCTTTCAACCCCCTCTGCTAAAGGATTATGGCCCGATATAATATGTTCACACACCAATGCGTAATTACGTATTCACCTGAAAAACAAAACATACACCAACAACAGCCAAAATTTTTTAGGTTAATTCACCTGAAGCGCTCCGCATTTGGGCTTTGCTGACGCTCACCTGAGAGAGGCACATACCTGCACTGAAGGCCCAGTTGAGGACGGAGTGTGCTTGTGGGGCGGTCGTGGATGATGCAGTGAAGCCGACGTAGAATGCAGCAGTGGACGCCCTGGGCTGCAGGATGGAGCAGAGCGACACTCGAGCTCGGAGGGTGGGGGTGGGGGGCTGCTGGGGGTCGGAGGAGAGGTAGACTCGGAGAGTGCCGCCGCTGGAGGGGTCGTAGTGGATCCAGGCGTGCTTGGTGTGGGCGTCGTTGAGGATGAGAGGGGCCGTGGCAGAGGCGAGGGACACAGGTGAGCCGCCCACATTGACGCCCACGTGGTTGTCGTTGGGGTCGCTGTGCTTCACACTCAGCACCGAGTCAAACTCCACCGCCACACTCCGCTTCCCCACCCCTCCCAGCCGGTCTGGCAGCGCCGCAGCAACGACAAACACGAGCCCATCCCCGCCCGCCTCTGCCTCCGGGTCGAGGGAGAAGGCAAGGGATGCGTTGAAGGCGAGCTGGTAACCGCATGTGGCCTTGGTGTTGAAGTAGGAGAAGAGGGGGAGAGGCGCGGCTGTGAAGGCCGTGCCCCAGGTGGCGTTGGCCTTGGGGGTCAGCAGCAGCGCGCCGCCTGCAGAGGTTAGCGCCGAGCCGCTCAACACCATCGGAGTGGTGGCAGAGGAGGCCAGCACGGGGTCAACTGGAGGGAGGAGGGGTGGGAGACGAGGGGTTTGAAAAAGAGAGATTGCTTGGTGCAAGAATGACGACACGGTGGTCAATTCAATGAAAGGAGTGGCATACACCTCAGTTCTAGCCCAAACCAGGAAGCCCTCTCAAAAGGAGAACAACTTCGCTTACTTGTGTATGAGCACGTTTGGGGGTCGTCGCGAGTGGAGTAGTGCGCGTCACACGCACACTCCGCCATCTCACTAGTGTCATTCATGAAGCAGTACCCATGCCCGCTGCACAACGCCTCTGCCTGCCCCACCCCACAGAATGCTGCGCAGCTCTCCCTGCTCCTCTGTTCTTCGGCCACCCCGCACAGAGTCAAAGTCGTGGACAGGCAGTTCTGAGTGAGCATGAGGTGCAGAGCTGCGCAGTTCTTGGGGCGCGTGGGGGCGGAGGTGAAGTAGTTGCTGTGCACGTCCAGCAGCGTCAACGACCTGGAGGCTGGCATGGGCACGGCGCCCGTGAACTGGTTGGACGCCACGAGGCTGCAGGCCGTGACCAGCACAATGTCGTGGTAAGGCGAAAGGCAGCGTAAGGAGTGGAAGACACAAGGGAACGGGGGGATTTGAGGAATGGTTAGTATGGAGGGTAAGAATGGTTCCAAGTAGAAAGGGACATTTGAATTACGCCTGATTGGGGAGGGTGAAACTTCAGAATGCACTCACAGCTTCTCAAGGTTGGTCAGCGGGTTGACCATGGGTGCCAACGGTCCTGACAGAGACATGGAAGACAAGTCCCTGCACCATGCATGCATGCACCACAACCATGTGGCACAGGATGGCTCATTTGTGTCAACAAGGCTGGCATGATTGTTGCAGTTGGCCATACATTCAGTTGCTTCCACACAACATGTGGCTCGGTTGGAGGAACATCATCACAAAAAAAAAAAAAAGGCAAACCCATTTCTGCCAAATTCACTCACGCATTGACAGTTATGGCACAAAGACCAAATGCCATTGCTGTACAGCCATGCCCAAACTCCAGTTCATTGAAACAAACAACTGAGCCGGCTGAACAAACCATGCAAGTGGCTGAAAGGTAGTGTGGGGATGACTCACAGGTACCAAAGCCTCTGCAGTGAGGAGAGTGCGGGAGGCACCAGACCATGCACGCGCAAGTCACGGAGGGAACTGCGTGCAGGGGGTTACAATGACGTGGGACAGGATTTGAATGATTCTAGCATGGAATATGTGTACGCATGTGATCTGAGCTCTGAAGGACAGGAATCGGCGCCAACGACTTACACTACGAGAAATGGACTGTGATTTTACATTTACTGTGTAGTTTTGAACTACTGATTAAGGGCAGGCACATTCGGTGTAAGAGAGTTCTGCCTCTCTCGCTCCAGCCCTGACAGGACACAGCACAAAGTTATGTCTTTGTATCTTTTTCTGCATGCGTGATCTGCATGTGAGAAAATTACCAACAACACCCCAAAGAGAACGCGATCTTGCTTCTGTTGTGCCTGCTTCCTCCTTCCACGTGCCTCTTTCCTCCACTGGCATACCTGCAACTGCCATCGCCATTTTTTTAATTAATCTAGGCAAGTAAACTAGGCTGGCCATGGCGAATCACCGACACCAATCCTATTGTTCTCTCCCTGTGTAGTTAAGGTAGGGATGAGCAAGGGGCGAACACGAACGTGTTCGTGTTCGCCCCTACACAAACACCGCCGTTTGCCGAACCGAACACTGTTCGGTTCGGCGAACACTTTGAGCAAAAAATGGTGTTCGCCGTTCGCCTGTGAAGGCGTGTTCGGGCGAACCTCGAACACGTTCGTGTTCGTCGCGGGGCAAATTGCAGCAGCGGCCCGAACACGAACGTGTTCGGGCGAACATCGAACACTGTTCGGCGAACAATTTAAGCCAAAAAAAAAAACCTGTTCGGTTCGCCTCGAACATGTTCGAGGCGAACCGAACAGGTGTTCGTTTTTTTGCACAACCCTAAGTTAAGGCATGACGACATATTTCACTAACTTATGTTTTTTGTTCTTCTTTCTCCTTCAATTCATTTTGTTTCCATGAACGATGCTTTTAGTTAAAGATGTTGATCAATGTTCGTTTACTGTAGTCACTAACAGCAATAGTTGACATGATTGGAAGAAGCATTAGGAAACAACAAGATTTCAAATAAATCTCTGACGAAGTACATACTGTATGAAAAATAATCTACAACCAATCCATGGTCATTGCGTTGGGAATGCAAGTGAAATATATCCGTGTGAAGAACCCTGCCAGCAAGGGCCCCATGGAATGCGGAGACGGGCAGGGATGGTGGCCAAAGGCGAGCAAGGGCAGGGAAGATGGCTCACAGGGCCTCCAGATTCTTGAGGTTCGCCAGTGATGAGGGGATGGTGCCGTTGAAGTCATTCACGCCCAGCAACCTGCATACACGGCCACGGTCACGGTCAGTTTTCTTTGCTTGTGTCTATCAAAGAGCAGTTGTTGAATCAGCAGCAAGCAAGTACTTGCTATTTGTACGAAGCGAAGCAGGTGCCTTACAGATTTGGAATAGCAGAGATAAAGGAGACTGATGGGTGTGGGTCGTACTCACAAATATCGAAGCTCGGACAGATTCCCTAAAAAGGATGGGATGCTTCCTTGAAAGCGGTTGGAGTCCAGGTGCCTGCAAGCTAGCAATGCTCGTAACCACCGGTCATGCCAAAGCGTCGACGGCAAATGCAGTGCACACATGGTATTGCACACAATGTAGTGCAGTGGACAAAGCAGCAGAAAAGCACATGTGCCCTCGCTAGAATGAGGTGCCACGACAAGTGCAGCAGCTACGTTGGCAAATACGCGTATCATGTATAATACGCTAGCGTATTATACGCTGGGTATATACGCGGTACGCAATGGCTGGCGTACTGCTGATACGCTAAAATACGCTGGGCGGGCAGGTGAAACATTTTTCCCGGGCAGTAGAGCCGTGAACAGAGGCTGCATTGCTCGTCGAACTAGTAGGAGCTGCGCTCGACGCCATGGCGCGCGACTACGGAACGTCTAACTAACGGGGAAGAATGCTAGACGAGACCTGCGGGAAGTAAATTGAAGAGCTTTGTGGAAGTCGTCGACCTAAAAATGCTCACGAAGTTATGAACATTTGGAAGGGGTTGTTGGGTTTGAGAGGTTGGGTGGGGTGGTGTGTGGTTGAGTGGGTGGGAAAGTTTGGATTTTGACATTCGAGGTTCAGACATGGGTAGGGTGCTTGAGCGAGTTCGCGGTAACAATTTGCGAAGCCGCAAAGTCGTCGCGATTTTTTCCAATTTCGGATTTTTTTTTCCGCGGGCTGCCCGGGCGTATTTCGCAAATTCAGAGCGTATCAGCGTACCACGTATATACGCTAGCGTATATACGTGATACGCCAGCCTTCCCAAAGCGTATCTGCCAACGTAGTGCAGCAGGCCGCTTATGCAGCTCAAAAACTCACAACACGACAGCACTGGCGGAGGCATCATGTTGTGAGATAGTAAAGATTATGGGCATTGCTCACAGTCGTGTGAGTCTTTGCAGCTGTGGAAGAGAAGCAGGCAGGGATCCGGAGAACCTGTTGTTGTCCAGGCACCTTGAGAGCCGCATAAAGAAAGGTGCATGCAAATGGGAGCGATGCAAGCAAGGGAACCTGTTTAGAACAGAGTGGGCAATGTGCACGAAAGAGGCCCGACAAAAGCAGTGAGCCCTCCCCAGGTATTGTTCTGACCAGGCGCAATGTGCATCACAGGGATTTGCAAGCAGGAGATGAGAATGCGAGCCTGAATTTCAATGTGGAACAGGCAGCACTTTCACCAGTCCTCTGGCGTTCAGCATTGCGGGCTACAATCACACGGCTAAGGTGTCATGCAGACGCCCTGTCCACCATCACCCAGAAGTATGGAACCAATTTCAGGCAACGGCGGCTGGGCGGTGGCATCACAACGAAGCCAAGCAAACGCACTCCATGAAAAGGCCAAGGCCAACAGACTGGTAGAGGCGCCTTTCACCCCAATGGCGGTCGGCCCTTGGTCCATTGCGTTGAGAGATCTCCTCTAAGTTCCGGACGGCCAAGCAAACACGGGCCGCCTTGCCTCTCCCAACTACTGGCAGCATCAGCACCGCCTGGGGGGGTCACCTGCTGTGGCTGAGGCTAAGGGAGGAGTGGAGCGCTCAACTGTACTAGAAAAACGACCCTCTCTGCGGACTATCCTTCCACACCCAAACACCAACCACCCTCTGGCTGCACGCTCCCCTCCCCCACCATGCATTCCTCTTAATCCCCAGAGCACCCCAAGACAAACCTGCCGGTGTCCCACAGACGTGCCTACCAGTAGTTGCACAGCCGTGTTTGGCTATCCGAACAAAATCTGCATGCTGTAGTTGAGCACTTGCTTAGCAACCAACCCTCAGCTGTAGTTGCTTGGTGGTACTCGCACTACCATCGCGTTGCTTTTCTTACCAGAAATTGCTGCACTTTTTCAATGGCTGCTGTGCTGTAGAGTAGACGCGCTAGTAGAGTAGAAAGTAACTGTGTGTATCATTGTACTCACCTTAGAACACGTGCTGTAATCCCCTGCCTATGCTAATGAAGGACCATCAAAGAGAGGAAAGCAAGAGAGATTTGGTACTCACAAGATGGAGAGGTTAGTGAATGAGGCAATGAACTGTGGAAACGATCCATTGAAGACGTTGCTGCTTACTCTCCTGAATGGACGCACGCACACGCGATTGGACACATGCAGTATGGCTCTGGAATGGCCAAGCGAATACATGAGGATGAGCGGTGGACGGTTGAGTCAAAGCATGGTAGGCATCATGCTTTGGTTTGGTGTGACTGTGGCAATGAACAGGTAAAGGCTCTAGCAGCAGCAGCAGCAGCAGCAGCGGCGGCGGCGGCGGCGGCGGCGGCGGCGGCAGCAGCAGAAACTCACATGTCCTTAAGCTTCTTTAAAGTTGACATTTCCCTTGGCAATGAACCCGACAAGCTATTCACTTCCACTCCACTGCAGCAGCACAAAGATGCTCGAAGAACACAAACAGATGAAGGCAACGCATAACAGTGAAGCGAGAACGTGAGTGCAATCACGGATGGCACTCATGCATTGAGAATCCTATGCAAACCTGCAAAGTTTTGAAGAGAATACATACATGCATGCAATCATGACTGCATGTGAGCTTGGAAGTGCATGTGCGTGCAACAGGGACAGCACGGCAGAGCACATCACCATCTATGTGGACCATTATGTATGGGCAAGCAAGTACCCAAGCCGGACCAGTTCCACTCATACGGGGCAGAACTGGTCGGTGTGTGTGTCGAACCACACCGTAGCCTGTTCAGATAGAACCGGCTGGACTAGTGCTGGTCCACGATGCAAAGAACAGAATAACAACACACAACAGAATTCAACAAACGTTGATAGGCTAGGGTTCTATCTGGGGTTGATAGGCTGCTCACGCCCACTGACCCTTAGTGCGTTCACAACTAAGTTCGGTTCTCACAGGTATTCCAGATTGCTCAGCCTGCTGATGTCAGAAGGAATAGAGCCAGATAGGGAGTTGTTGGACAGAACCCTAAAGAACGGGTCCAGGACAGGAATGCAACAACCGACATGCAGGACAGGTCATTCCATCACACGACTATGTGTCGCATTCTTCCATTAGAACATGATACATGCGCCAACCGTTTGGGAAGGTAGATGCATGACATCCAAATCCAAGGAGAAATTACTATACAAAGGAGCAATCTGGGAACTAGTGCATACTTTCATACAATGAGAAAAGACTCCTGGAGTACAACCAAACTAATCTGCCACATACTTTACAAGAGGAGGAGATTGATCCCACAGGTTCTACTGCCATCAGCATGTCTATGCGATTCGTGCTACACCATTATTACACATTCAACAGCTCACACTGGCTGGTGTATTCGTGCTCACACTGGCTGGTGTATTTGTGCTCACACTGGCTGGTGTATTCGTGCTCACAGGCTAGTAAGACGGCCTAATGTAAAGAGGGCGCGTGGCAGCGAGTCTACTAAGTTGCAGCCAATCAGAGTGCTGCACTCTCAGATACGAACACAGGTACAGGAAAGAAAGAACGAAAGAAAAATGCTATGAGTCCATGAACCATCGGGGAAGGAGCGCGGCAGTCTCAAATGTTTGCAGAGTGGTATGTAGGATGCAAGTTCAAGTCTTTCAGCTGGCAACCACCGATTGCTGTGGTGCAGTGATGCGGTGCGTGATGTAGCAGAGGAATAGAATGTGGAAGAAAGGCCCAGTGAAACGACACGATTTGATTTGAGCATACAGTAACAAAGTGCACCCACAGTGTTTCAAGGCGCTGTAAGCCGCTGATGGCAGTGGGAATGGGATTCCAGAGAGGTTGATTACTGACAGTCCTGGTGAAACATGAAGATGCAAGGGGCGGAGGACGGGCAGGGTATTGAGAAAACAGAAGAGGCGGAGAGCATTTGCTGAGCAAACGTCACCCAGTGATTTGGCCACACGCATACTGGCAGTGTGCCTGCATGTGGAGTTGGGGGAGTAGGGAAGGGAATTCGGGGTGGGGGGGGAAGGGGAGGGGGAGGGCAGTGTCCCATCCCATGTTGTGTGTGTGCTAGTGCTACGACACATTCAATCTGCCCGGTGAAATGCATCAAGTCAGTACTCAATGAAGACCTTTCACCATGGAGGCTTGCAATGAGAGAACTAGGGTGCATGAGAAGCAGAGTGAGCGTGGGAAGTGGTTGCTCACATGGATGTGACGTAGCCATCCTTGCACTCAATGCCCAACATCTCGCTGCAAACACTGCGCGTTTGCCATGACGCTGCATTGGCAGCCGACGCCCACTCCGTGGCTATACTCTTCAGAACGTCCTCTGAGAGCAATGCAGCATGCATGCCATGGAACATATGCGGTGTGGATAAGGACAATGAGATGACTGTTTCTTTCTCACAATGCACAGAGCGAGTCAACAGGGCAACGGAATCATGGTATCTCGCGAATAGAATAGCATGCAAGCCGTTGGAATGGTTCAGCAAGCCTTGCACTTGAGTCAAAGCCAAGGCGCACGCTACGCTATGCGGTGGCGCACCCCCTTGCATGCCCCACGAGCCGACAGTCAGTACACAGAGGGAGGGGGCGAACGAACGGCGCCCTCGGCGCTCCCCCTTCCGCCCTCGCGAATCCAGCATGCGCAACAAGCCCAGATTCCACAGGGCGAAGCTCCGCAAGGGACCCAGCGCCCTCCCCCAGCAGGTGCAACGGTGACAGGCACGGCAGCAGGGGCGGGCTGAGGAGCATTCTGATTTGACGTCCGCAGCACAGTGCGTAGCGCAGGCAGAAGCGCTTCGAGCACACGCTCCGAACAAGTGGGCACCTGGCGCAAGGAGCCTCCATGCCCCCGAGCCGAGCGCCCCTGCGGCCACTCGCCTGACTCTGGAACGTGGCGAGTACGCCGGCTGGCCACGACGACTTGAGTAATGACACAGTTTCGACGACGTGCGCGGCAATCGGCGCCCAGGAGAATGGCACCAAGGCTGTGATCTCTCGACCGGTTGAAGGCCTTAAAGGGGCTGTGATGTGAAGGTAAGCTCCGACGAGCTGGAAGTAGACCTTTCAAGATGCACACAAAAGTGAGGAACGATGCTGACAATGACGCAACGGATGGGTCTTATACACTGGGCCGGCGGACCCATCCACGGAGTCCACGACAGGTGAAGCTCACATCAGAGTGCTCACCAACAAGCAGCTGCAATCAACTCGTGGGTGTGTCCCAGCACCTACTAAAGCCGCATCCTCTGGGTGTTACCCAACACCGACCCGAGCCACAATCACAGAATTGGACAACAAGGTGAGGAAAATCTGGCGAGGGCTGACGACAACTCTGTCCCATCCAATCCAGCCCTGCTCACTTGCGTCGCCAGCAGTCCCCAGAGGAGCTCGCGTCTGACAATAGTTCACCAGCGTGGAAAATTGAGACATCGCGATTTTGTGCAACACCCACTGCCACGGAAATTTCCGCCCGTGCTTCAGCCGCTTTTCGCCACCGCTTGGTTGTCTTCTTTGCTTTGATTGGCACGAAACCTTGACTCATTGACCCGCTGTACCCTGCTGCTTTTCGCCCCCCGCCTCACGCTGTGCCGTCTATCATCGAAGCGGCCTGATTGCTCCACAGTCAAGTCATGTGTGAAGCAATTCGTGGCGAGCGAATGGGAAACGCTGTATCAAGCCACGGTGGACTCGGCAAGAGGTTGGGCAGCACTCTACGACCCTTCACTGTACGACTTACGGCAGGCCGTCCTCCTTACTATACTTGCACGCTGGTTCCCATCATCCGCCACCGCTGAGCGAGAGAGGTGTGCGGCAAGGCAGTCCCTTGGGGCCATCGCTTTTTGTGGTCAACATGCACTCTGCTGCACTGCAGGCCACGGCATGCGTCTTCCCTTTGGTGCTGTGCCTAGCTTGCACCAACGATGTCAGCTTTATGGCCGATCCAGAAGAGTGCACAGCGGCCTTCGACCACTTTGCCGCTGCAATAGCTACAGTGGGCCTCACACACAATCCAGCCAAGTGCGCAGCTTGGTCTCGTCCTCATCCACCAGGAAACCTCCTTCTCCTGGCCGTCCACTTCTGGAACGAGGGGTAACAAGTCCTTGGCAGCCACATCAGGCCAGACGATGCAGCGGCCCGTTTGGACTCCATGACCGCACCACTCACGCGCATGGACCTCACCTCGCCTCACTGCTACTCGCCCGCTGCATTTCACGTGGCGAAGTGGAGAGTACACGTATTTGGGCCCAGGTCTCCCTGCATGTCTCCCTCCAAGGGCTGGGACTAGCCTGCCCTTGTGAAGGGCACATACGGCTGCTTGGCCAGCTTCACCCACGGCCCCCAGCTGCTTGCCTCCCTCCAGAGACCTCCATCGGCGCGCTGGCGTCGACTCGGTTCCACATGCCCGGACCTTGTGACGCCCCCACGCCGCTACGCTCGTGGCTGGCGTTATGCGAGGACTCCCGGCCTGCCACAGCAAGCCAAGGACGTGCTCCAAACCAACCGTCTTGATTGACCCCACAAGCGGGAAAACGCAACACCATCTAGCCATTGCACGCCTGGGCCAGCGAAACGGCGAGCAGGTGGAGGCCGCGTGGAGCATGGCACTCAACCCCAACACTGCCCACACGCACGCTACGCATGCTCCCTCTTTCTCTCAGGCTATGGGGCAGGAAACCGGTTAAACGCGGCACTAGTCTCTCCGGCCCTGCGCCTAGTAGGGCCGGCCCACTGTGCAACAACCCTTCAGTTCCGACTTGGCCTCCGCAAGCAAGCAAGGGGCGACTGGCGCAAGCAAGTGGAGATCACCAACGCTCGCCTCCTACCACCTACTGCGTTGTGGCACTGGGGCGGGACGGACCATGACACACAACGAGCTGAGGGGCGAGTGCACCACGATGGCACAGGACGTTGGCTTCGTTGCGCATAACAGAAAACCTCCGTCTTTGCCCCGTACCAGAGGATGGGCCGCAAGAGAGGCAGCGGCACGGAGTATCTATCACTACAGAGCTGAATACGTTGGCCTTTCCCCACTCACCTGCTTGACGCCTGTGTCCGGTTTACCTATCCATGGACCCATTGAGGGACGGGAGGAGGGGAGCAAGTTTTTATGGATATGAGTCCTCTCGAGCTTATTGTTCCTTCCGTTTCTCATTCTCGGTTTTTCCTAGCCCAACGAACCCTAATCGTATTCACGATTCTAACTTTGAGATTCGCGTTTCTGGAGGCAGCATGTGTGACGAGAGAGTCAGAGGGCCCGAGAGCATCATGGAGCAGCAAACAGCGACTCACTGTTAGGCACGCAACGCACTTTGGGTGGAGAGAATCGGTTGCGCGGACGCCTCTCCGCAGGCGTGCAGCAGCGCGAGCAGCGCACAGGCGTACGGTGCGGCAAAGCTAGGACTACTACGCCGGTGCACACACGCCGGGGCATGCGCTACGCGCACGAGCTTTTTAGCCTTCCACATCCTTATTCAAGGCTGCCTCTTTAGGCTGCTACTTCTTGCACTACTTTTGACTTTCACGGAGGAGTATGTGGAACTGTATGCTTCTGGCGGTGATACATCTTAGCATGTCCGCGAATAGAGGAGAATGACTTGCTTGACCACGCAAGACCGGGAATCTCTAGGGTTAGACTCGAGCATAAAATATCACCGACACTCAACAATTCGCCAGCTTGTATACAATGTTCGTATGGTAACCCAGTTTGGAACACAACCCCCCACAGCCCACTCGGCAGAAGCAAAACCAGCACTATTATGAGTTGTACTAAACAGAGTGCGAGGAAGACTTTATAAAAAGGATGTGATTACAGAATGCCAAAATAATGAAGAAAGCGATCCTTTTTAGGGCGAATACATGCTAGGTGTGTTGAAAGGGTAACTAGCTAAGCTTAGGAGCCATAGCTAGGTTACGAGAGAAGGGAGAGGCACGTGAGCGAGAGTAACACAAAGGAGGGGTCGCACTATAGAATTGCTACCGTAGTACAAATAGATACAGTAAGAAACATGCAAGGAGAGGTGCACCACAAGCAGGAAATCATATAACTACACTACAGCTATAACTACATGCAGTTTTGCATGAATATATATAGAATTTATTCTGACACACCCCCTAACTACATGTAGGAATAGCCATGTGCAGAACACCCCCTGAAGGGGTACACCCTGCGCAGCGGAAGACAACAAAGAGGTAAGTGAGGAGGAGGTAGGGGGGAGCCAGACGCGGCGAGCCCCTCTTACGAACCCCCTTTTACAAAGGGGGAGGTGAGCGAGGGATGGGGAGCAGGGCTGATTTTATCAGGGTAATTACCCTGATTTCAGTGTGATTTCAGGCTTCTCACTTGCTGGTCCCTGTGAAATCAGATTTTTTACATTTTGATCCCAGATCCATTCATAGTATTGGTTTAGCGGACCCTGAAATTCTCTGTACACTCTTAGTGTAGTGTTTTCATAGACCTTGTCAATACAGAGTACGCAATCTGTGGACCCTGAAAGCGATGTTATCGGGACGAAGCGTAATTATTATTTCACACGTAACCATGTGGGGGATTCGTTTCACACGCACAAGTGACATAATACCGACTGAGAATACGACTGTCCTTTGTACAGCATCGATGTACAGCACAGCTGTCAAACTTGACAGCGCAACTAGAAGCATGATACCGTATGGCCCCGGATATAAGCGCAGGCCTATTAAAAGCGCATGCGCTTGTATCTGGAGCAATGCGCTTATGGCCGATCCTCAATTATAAGCGCACCCCTTATAAAACCCTGATATATTATAAGCGCATGTGTAATTTTATTTATAATTCTTCATTAAAACGGTAACGAATCTCAGTTTTGCAGCGAGGCTACAACCCATTTTCGCTTACATTGACTTTCGAAGACCTCTCACATCCTGCGCGTCCAGTCAGCACGAGCTGGCACGCCCTCAAAGTGAGGTGTTACACTGTATTTTGCCTCTGGGCGCTCGCGAAGAATCGCCCGCGCGCGATTTTGACATGTGACTTTCTACAATTTCGATTCGATTGAAATCTGAAGGATGAGATGTACAATTTGGTGCATTGAAATATATATTTGTATTTGTTATATTATAAGCGCATGCGCTTATAATTTTTACTCAATTATAAGCGCACCCCCCAAAAAAACACTGTTTTATTATAAGCGCAGGTGCGCTTATATCCGGGGTAATACGGCATCTACAGCCACGCGCACCGCGTAAAGCACAATACGTGTCCCTCATTAGCGGGAGACACATAGTTGCATTCGTCTCTGACAGTGAGGCAGTCGTTCAATGTATTCGGCCTGCATGAAGGGCCGAATA